ATTAGAACTGATTCAAATGAATTCTTTTTAATGGCTGAGTAATATTCCATGGTGTATATGTACCACAGCTTCCTTATCCATTCGTCTGCTGATGGGCATCTAGGTTGCTTCCATGTCTTGGCTTATTCTTTTTTAAAATAGGACTCCTAGTTAGTTATAGGAGATTCAGTCTATGTTAATTCGGGGAGTAAGCATTAGGCAATATGAAGTTATTTGTTGGTCATTGTCAGTCCTGTCAGATGATCTTGGTGATTGTGGTTTTTCCAGTTTCCCTGCTTTTCTGGTGTTCTTCAGAACTGAAGTGGCCTCTTGATAATCCAGTGTGTGTGGAGAGAAGAGCATTGGATTGGGAGATGGGAGACTCCCTCTTCTTTCTTTTTAACTTTAACTCCTTGTATTTAAAATGAGAGAATTGAACAATCCCTCAACTTTCTTCTGGCCCTTAAATTGAATTCTAACCTCCCTTGTATAAATACCAGTCAAGATTTAAGAGAACATACCAGATAATTTATTTATCAATTCAGCAGTGTTTTCTGAGCACTGTTTATGTGCTTACTGCTGTGCTGGGCTGACTGGGTTGGTTTTACCTGTCCATATGGAGTGAGAGAAGAGAATGTTAAGGGAATATTTTTGAATAAAGGTGAATGGGCTTAAGGGCAAAAAAAAAAAAAGCAAGAGCGCTTGAAGAGGGCCCACTGTTCATTCTCTATTTCCGGAGCCTCTGTTAATAGGCAGGACTGGTAGGTCTGAAAAAATAAAGTACACATAAAGATTATACTGTATGTTGTGTAAAGAAAAGGTCTCTTCCCCTTATGTGTCCTCTACTCACCCTTCTGGGCTTCCCTCATAGCTCAGTCAGTAAAGAATCTGCCTGCAATGCAGGAGACCCAGGTTTGACTCCTGGGTTGGGAAGATCCCCTGGAGAAGGAAATGGCAACCCACTCCAGTACTCTTGCTGAAAAAATCCCATGGACAGAGGAGCCTGGTGGGCTACAGCCCCTGGGGTCGCGAGAGTCGGACACGACTTAGCGACTAAACCGTCACCACCACTCACCCTACTATTACCTACAGTACTGTTTCACTGCTGAGGCCAGATGTGCGGGTTTTCCACACATCGCACCCTTAAGTGACCTCAGCTGGTGTCAGTTTACCCAATTCTGACATGGTCCACCTGGAGATAGTGTCAAATCTTTCAGGTTAGGAGTCCCGTAAGACTGCCCCCACTTCTTCCTAGGTGCCACTCTCAGGCCAGCTTGTGCTTCTGACCCACTGGCTNGAGTAAGCAGTATGAAAGTGTGTAGAGTAAAATGTGAAAGTCCCCCTCTACCCTTTATTCCCAACCAAAAAACACAAAATCTTTTTCAGAGGTACTGTTTTTAGTTAACTTTCCTAATCTTTCTTTTTATGCATTTATGAAAATATTTGAATATAAGCTCAATAGAATTTTTAAAATGTAAATAGGATTGTGCTACACTTAAAGTGTCTTGAGGATCTTTGCATGTTAGTTGACATGTATAGCAGCTCCATAAGATTTTGTAATAAGATTTTGTAATTATGGAGCATCATAGTTAACTGATTTCCAGTTGATAAACACTGACTTTTTTCCTCATTTGGGCTATTACAAATATTGCTGCAGTTAACACTCACATATCCAGATTTGCAGGCACATGTGTGAATATTTTGTATATTTTGTAAGATAGGTCACTAGAGGTAAAATTGCCTTCTGAAAGAGTATATGCTTAAAAAAATTTGCAAATATTTTATCACATTGCTTTTGAAATTCCTCAGTGTACCTTTGCATCTGTGATGATACTTGGCAAAGGGACCATCATGGATTCCTACACATACAGGTGGTTGTGATACAGGAAAGGAACTCTGAGCTTTGGGGAATTGACTGTGTATAACACCAGTACTTTTGCTTGGAGAATCCCAGGGACAGAAGCGCCTGGTGGGCCAGAATCCATAGGGTTGCACAGAGTCAGACATGACTGAAGTGCCTTAGCATGCACATAGACAGCAGAAATGGGCCTGCTTTTTTCCCTGGGGAAACAGTACTGCTCCCTCAGGGTTGCTTGCTGCACACACAGTCCTGAGAAATGGCCTGGGTAAAAAGCATCCAGGGCCTTGCCTTCTTGGTACACCCCACAAGGGCATGTCGGTGTGCTCGGGAGCCTGGGCAGATTGTCTCTGCCAGCATCAGTGTTTTTTCTCTAGGTGCATCCAGTGCTATAAGCCAGAGACATGAATTGTTTTTGTCACCTTCTTCTCCTTTATTCATTTCATCACCAAATCCTTTAAATCTTGTCTCTTAAATATTTTTCAAATAATTCTACTTCTTTCTCTATTATCACCTCCCTAGGCTGTTATCTTCTACTTATATTACTACTTTGCCTTTTAACGATTATTCTTGCATCCACTCTTGCCCTCTTCCAACCTATTCTCCCACACTCCAGTCAAGAGGGAGCTTTTGAAAACACAGATATAATCATGCCACCTGATTGATGTAAAACCTTTTAGTGGTTTTCTTCTGCTCTTAGCATAGGTGTTGAAGTCTTTAACATTGCCAACAAGAATTTGTATTGTCTGGTAGTTTCCATATGTTCATTGTTAGTATATAGAAATACAGTTGCAATTGAACTTGGTATATTGACTTTGTATTCTATGACCTTGAACAGTCACTTGTTTTATTAGTGGTTTTTTAAGAGATTCTTTGGGATATTCTATATAGCCAATCAAGTTAGCTTTGAGCAGATACATTTTTATATCTTCTAATTCATGTGATTTTTATATTTCTTTCTTAACCTTGGTGTGCTATCCAAGACCTTCAGTGTGATGTTGAACAGGAATGGTGAGAGTGGACATCTTTGCCTTGTCCTGATGACAGAAACAAGATAATAGGAACAAAATAGTATTCCAGTTTTTCTTCATTAAGGATATGGCACTAGTGGTGTGTAGTTTTGTAGATGTCCTTAGCACGTTGAAGAAGTTTCCTTCTATCCCTGATGGTGAGCTTTTTTAAAAATAATGAATGGACACTGGATTTGGCCAGTGTATATATTTTCTATATCTGTTGAGAGAAACCACCTGTTTTTCTTTTTAGTTTTTTTATAGTGAATTATATTGATTAATTTTCAAAAGTCCTCTTTTAAAATTAAGCATCAGCTAATAAGTTTTTATTTTCTCTTGACTTTATTCCCTCCCCAGTTAATAAGTCTTAATTTTTTTGACTACTGTTTATTAATAAAGTCTCTCCTGTTAATCTGTTAATTTAGTATAGCTTTTCCCCATGACTCTTATCACTTCCATACAGCAGACTGTATGTTCTAATTATTTGTTTGTATATTTTGTCTTTTGCAGTGGCATATAAGTTTCTAGAACATGGTCTGAAATCAGGTAGGACTCTGTAAATATTTGTTGAATGAGGATATTTGCTTTCATAATCTAGGAAGGAAGGAAGAGGTACACAAATAAGAGGCGATACACCTTAGGAGAACTATCAACATAATTCTTTGCCAGCTCAAGATGGGAGAGATTAAGTTCATGTAACAAATTTCTTTTCCTTTTTCCTATCCTTTTCCAGATTTGAAAGAAGAAACATCTAGGAAAAGTTTTTTTAATGATGCACAAAATAAGAAGAATTCAATAAAAATGTGGTTTAGTCCTCGAAGTAAGAAAGTCAGATATACTGTGAATAAACTTTCAGTGCAAACCCAGCCTTCTGTGAAAAATGATGAAAATGCTCAGCAGACTTCCATGTACGAATTTGTCTCTCCGAGCCCTCCGGTGGAGGTTTCTGAGAGGCCTAAGAAGCCTTCCACAAAGTCTAGAAAAAAACAGAAAAAGAAAACTTTAGCTGAAGTCAACCAAAAATGGAATTTAGAGGCAGAAAAGAAAGATGGTGACCTTGACTCCAAAAAAGAAAGTAAGGAAAAGCTGGTGTCCTTCTGTAGCCAACCATCTGTGATTGCTAACCTGCCGATAAATGGTGAAATAGACTTACTAGCAAGTGGGTCCGTAACAGAATCTGAATGTTTCGGGGACTTGGCTGAAGTCTTTTTACCGTTGGCTGAGCATATAGAGTCTCCAGAAATTGAGAGCAAGAATGAAGTGGTGACTCCTGAGAAGACAGTCTCTGCAAACTGTCTTCCGTCCGAGAAGTCCTTGCCATCAGGTCGTAATGGGACGCGTGGGCGTCACAACAGAGTTTCCAGTCCTGTTTCTAAGAGATGCAGAAGCAGCAGTCAGAGCACTGGTGGGAACTCTGCTAAGCAAACAGTGCTGCCAGAACACATGCCATCGCCTGGCCGTTCTTCACCACCTCCAGACAAACTTAAAGCTGGTGCCACGTTAAGGAGGAAAAGCACCACTATCCTGGATGAATCCATTAGCCTCTCACCGAGCACGCCGCCGTCTTCACTGAACAGTCCCAGTTACAGACGGCTGATGTGTAGTCCCTCAACAACGAAGCCGTGGCCCACCCGGCTTACCGCTGTGAAGAGAAACCGTCGAGGAGAGACTCTGCTCCATGTTGCTTCAATCAAGGTAGGATGCTCACTGTGAAACACAGCTTCCCAGTGAGACCCAGTATAAAATGGATTCTTTGGAGTTCGTGAAAAATGACGTGGTTACTAGGCTAATTAACCTGACCAAAAGTGGCACTTCCTATGAACCGGGGAAGCAAGAATTGATAGGGACTGGAACCCTACCTCAGAGCAGGGGCCCTGGGGCCAGAGGAGCGTGACCTTGCAGGAGAAAACCAGTATTTCCATATTTCAGCTTCAACTTTGCCAGGTGCTTTTGCTTTTTTCTATTCCATAGTGGTTTTGCTTGGGCTTCCCTCATAGCTCAGTTGGTAAAGAATCCGCCTGAAATGCAGGAGACTTTGGTTCGATTCCTGGGTCAGGAAGATCCCCTGAAGAAAGGAAAGGCTTCCCACTCCAGTATTCTGGCCTGGAGAGTCCCATGTGTCATCCATGGGGTTGCAAAGAGTTGGACATGACTGAATGGCTTTCACTTTTCACTTTCAATGGTTTTGTTAAGTTTTCTCCATTTTGTTTACCCATTCTTCTCACGCTTCATGGATGTAGACACACCATTGGCACATGTCTTTTACCCAGCTCTGAGCTCAGGGCAGTTCTAGAAGGCATGAGCTTCTCTCTGTTTGACCCTCCTAGAGGGCCCGTGCCGAGTCCGGGAGGTCACACCACGTGGCTTGTGCATTCCTCCAATGACTGGAAATTTGAGTGTCGTGAATGACTCCTGTGGTTCACCACAGAGGGACTTCTCTGGGCCCCATAGCCAACCCGCTCCTTTCAATAGCCCGTTCTTTATGAGTTATGTCTGTTTATTGCCTCTCCACCTCGGAAGTGGCAGTACTTGTCTTTTGGAAGCCACCTCTCCTGCTGCCCTTGCGGTGCCCTTGCAGTGCTGCGCCTGGACCGTGACGCGGTGCTGGACACTGAGGGGGCACTCGGCCATGCAGCTGTGTAGACTGTGGTTTGTGAGTCCAGGCAGGTGTTATGCAGTGATCATAGGGAAAAGATTGGCACTGAATTAGGATAGCTTTTGTGATCTTACAGTAAATTCACTGGGAAACTGTTAGGTCTTTTG